GCACGCGGACCCTTCCGCCCACCCCCTCCTGGGCTGGGAGCCCCGCTGACGTCAACCAGGCCATGTGCTCAGCGCCCGCGTGGAGGCGGGCGGGAGGGAAGGCGGGCAGTGGAGCCGGGAGGAAGCAGGCGCTGCGGCCAACCCGGCGCCGCCCTCTGCTGCTTCCCTCCCCCATACCTGGATGTACCGCAGCGCGGTCCGCAGGACGCTCAGATTCGAGGTCTTCTTGTCATCGACGTTGGGGATATTGCGCTTCAGGGTCTCAAAGCATTCCTTCAGATGGGCCCTCCTAGGGAGAGGGAATGAGCGCTGGTCAGGCAGCGCCAAGAAGGCAGGGGCTGGTGGCGGGAAGGGAGGGACCAAGGGGAGCTCTGGGGGTGCCCAAAGCGGGGGAGTCCCAGGAGCAGGCGGGCCCAGAGTCACACACACACACACACACACGCACGCACGCACGCACACACACACACCTGTTTTTCTCCAATTTGTTGTGGACTTCTCTGGTTCCGATCCTGAAACCCAGACAGACAGGAGGCTCAGGGAGGAGGGCCCGATTAGGCTGCCTTCCTGATCCCCACTGCCACCCCCACCCCATTCCACAGGCTTTTGGTCTTCAATATTGTGAGAGCAGCAATGGGAGGTGTTCACTGCCACATCTGTAACCCTCCACCCCACGTGACAAACTGAGGAGACAGAAGTGACCTGGGAATCATGAGGCCCCTAATCCAATACTCTGCCCAAAGGCCAGAAAATGCAGTAAGCATGCTAGCGTTGGAGGGAGGTCAGAGATCACAGAAGCCTGAAAACAGAGAGCATTGGCCATTTATTCCCAGAAGAGAAACAGGCACTGTGAGAATGTGTCCAAATAGAAGAGGCGCTCCAGGGTTGGGCAGGACATGCCTAGAAGGGCTACCTAGGTAGGGGACCTGCTCTTGCACACACAGCCTGGGGTATAGACAGTTTTCTCCATCCCAACAGCCCCAACTCTGCCACATCCCACTCACCCCCCAGGCCTCTTCTTCTGTTCGCTGGATTTGACTTCTTCAGCTGGTGCCAACTTCAGGGTCCCAAGCGAGGGTGGGGGTGGCTGCTGGGGGGCCAGCTGAGGCTGGACTCCTGGGTGTGGTGCTATGGTCAAGATGGGTGTAGGAAGGGGTTGCAGAGGCTTGGGGCTGCCAGTGGGAACGACGGTGGTCTTTGAGTCGTGCAGAAGGGGTGCAGGGGTGGGCACCTGAGGCCTGGGAGGCAGTGGGGCAGGCTCCTTAATGCTGAGTCCAGGGGTGCTGACTAGGGCTGGTTGCCGAGGTGCCAGGGGCAGAGGCTGAGCTGCAGGAGGCAGCGGTGGGGGTGGGGGCAGTGGCTGGGGGGGGTTGGTCACTACAGGAAGGGGAATGACAGTCAGTGGGGTGGGGGGGGCAAGTGGGGGTGGAGGTGCTGGTGGTGGTGCTGGGGGAGACAGGGGAAGAGGTGGTGCCTCAATTCGGGGTTCTTCCACGGGCAGGGCATGTGCCAGCCTGGCCTTCTTCTGCTCCTGTTCCCGCTCCCTCTCCAAGCGAAGTCGCTCCTGCTCCTCTATGCAGAGAGAATACAAGGGGGGGGTCTCAGGGGGAGGGGTCAACAGTCGAGGGCATTTGCTTTACCTTCTCCAACCCTAAGCCATCCTTTTACCCTATCCCAGTCAGTGTTCAGTGACACTCCTGCCCAGCCTGAGATAGCACACATATGCAATCATGTCCAGCCAGGCACTGGGGAAGTTAATGCCCGGGAAACAGTAGTGAACAAAGAAAGCAGGCCTGGCCCCTGTCAATGGAAAGCACAGAGCAGGAGCAATGAGAGAGGACACTGTAGGCCGGGCAACCTATGCCGTTATAGCTTGAGGGCAGAGGGGCTGATGTGCAGGAGTGAGGAGCAAAGGGGGCTGAGGAGCCCAGAGGGACAGATACGGGGGCTGGAGAACTGGACAGAGGCCAGACCATGAAAGAATGCTGAACCCACTGTATGAGGATGGAGGGGGTGCTGACAGCTCATAGCTTCTGTGGAAGGCCTTCCACAATAAGTATCAAGTACCTTGTAAAGGGCAGGCAGTACCTTCATCTCACAGATGCAATAAATGAGCTCAGAGAGCCAAAGAGATTTATTGAGAATCACACAGCAAGTCTCCTGACACCTAGCCAAATGCTCTGTACTTGCTATGTCAACATAAGCTCACCCACCATGTCTTCTCATACATCGACACATCCTGAATCCTCAAAAGAGCCCCATGTGACAGGCAGGATAGGGCTATCACCTCCACTTTATAAGGAAATGGCTCAGAACTTCTTGACTCCCAGGCTAGGTCTTAAGGCCTCTGATTTCCTCAGGGACCATTCAACAAACACACTCGCCCCTGCTCATGTTGGGACTAATTTCTCTTCCCCCCAGCCACACTTCATCCTCCACACAACCAGCAGCAAAAACTATAAAGGAAGGAGGCAAACAGAAAGGTTGGGTTTTTGGAAGAGGCCATGCAAAGCCACGGACTCAAGCCACTTTCATCCATCACTTCCTTCAGTATCTCTGCTTAAAGTCCAGCAGGAAGATGAGAGGGCCTTTCTCCCAGTTCCCTCCTCAGGCCCCCACGGTCTTTGGGTCCTCCCAGGCTCCACCCTCTTCTCCTGCCCCCATTGACCTCTCTGCTAATACAGCTGACAGCACTGGCTGTTGGACAAGCCCCAAACACCACCCCATTGGGGTAAACCCTCCCTAGGGATGAGGGGAGCACCCCCCCCCAGTCTTATTAGCTCGGTAGCACTAGGGCCCTGTGGCCAATCAACAGCTCCACAGCAGGACAAGCCTGCTCCTAGCCCCACCCCAGGTGGGGGAAGAGGCAAAGGAGGAAGTTGAGGGGAAGTGCTCAGAGGTTTCCCAGAAGCCTGAGCTCAGGGTTGCCAGTCAGTGGGTCTCTTCCTATCATCCCGTCCCTTTACGAAAAGGAGCTGCCAGGCCAACACAGGGCTGCTCCAATGAGGAGAGACCTTGTTCTCCCAGGCCTCTCCTACAGCCCTGGTTTAAATTACAGCACCAGAGAAAAATCAACTTGCTGCTCTTCAGCTTTCCCCAAACCACTGGCAAGCCACAGGACCCGTCTCAAGCACAGAGAGGGATATTGCCAGTCCTTTCTCCCAGGACAAGGCTCAGCACAGCTCCCACCTCCACTCCTCTAACTTACAAACTTTTATTGTCATGGGACAAATGCTCCACTGGCAGAAGGAACTCAAACCGAAGGCAACCCCATATTTTTTTATTTATTTTTCAAACTCCACATTTTAAAGCAAGCCTAAAGCTCACCTAGAAGACAGCAGACTCCTTCCCTACCTTCTCTTCCAGAGAGCCCGACAAATGTACCTTACAGGTGCCAGAAAGGACTCAGGTGAATGATCAAGCTTTGCCATACCAGGATCAGCATGATAAACCTTAAGAAGGCTGCTCTAGGTCACAGCCAGTTCAGAGCTTCCTTCCCCTTGTCCCCTGCTCTGACTCACTTCCCACCCAGCAGGGACCCTCTCCAGCGCACTGGAAGAAAGAAGCACATTGGTGATGGCTTGGGCCTCCTTCAGGAGCAATTAGTCTTGAGTCTCTTTAAAAGGATGTTCTGCACACTCACAGGTGCACACCCGTCTCTCACAGGCACAAGCATACTCTCCCTTGGCTCTGCCCAGATGCTCCCCGAAAGAATTCGGCATGGCCTTCTAGGTGTTCCAGGGCACAGACACTGTCCCCTTCTACATGTGTACCAAGAAGCTTTGCATGTAAGGCAGATGGTGGGACAGTCTGTGGTCAAGGCATCTGGATAATCTGGCCACCTCGCTCCACTTATGGCAGAGTCTAGTTTAAGTCACCTCCATGAATGCTAGGCATAAGCCAGGTCCTCCTGCTAGGGACCAGAATGGCCTTCTCCTTTCTTCCTTTATCTTTCTCATACTTGCTCATAGACGCACACATTCTCGGGTTCATTATGTAAGCAAGCTGTCTAGGCCAGGAAATCTACCCTGAAGAATGAAAGGGAGAATGGATGATAAGATTCCCGTTCAGAGATGATTGTCAAGTAACAGCCTAGGAGGGTAGTTCCGGTCAACAAGGTTCACATCCCACCCTCATTGTTCCCATTCTTCCTGCTTCAAGTTAAAGGACAGTACTTCAAGAGGAAAAAGAAAGTGAATCTTGGTGTTTAATTGCTGCGAACAACTCTGGCCATCTGTATACATGAATTCTTGGAGATTTTGGCTTTCCAGAACCCACTTATCCCCCAAAATCCCCTGATCCAGCAGCAAGAAGTCCACTGAGCAGATGAACTTCTCCTGTCCCCAGATCTCACCACTTGGGGGTGGGGCAGGGATCTGCAACTTCTTGAGAGAGAAGTTTTTCCCAGTTTCTGGGCAGAGCTGCATACATCATCCTGTTTCACACTATAGGCTGCCTTACTGGGCAAGGGCAGCAGGCATGACAGTGGGGGTCTTCTCCCCTTCCCAGTGTGGTCATACAGCCTTCAGGTAAGGTGGGGTGAAATGATCCAGGGCTCCCTGGAGGCAAGAGCAGAGTCAGTCTGGTTCACCTCAAGCACGGTGCCCGATATACAGCTGGGACACACTTGGTACTTTTTAATTGAGTTGATGGTGGCAGATGACTTAGTCTCTCCAAATCTTGTGCACAGTCCTTCCTGCACCACTGGGACTGCACACAGGTCATTCTGGGCCACCGCCAGCACTGTCTGCTGCTTTACCCTGCCCTGGACCCCAAAAATCAAGGGGGATGGGTGGGGGGGCGGATATCCCAGCTCATTAATTCCATAAAACTCAAGCGTCTAGGTCTTGAATATCTCCACTGACTCTTGACCTTGAGAGGCCTGTAGGTCGGTTCTACTGGGCCTGCGGACTGCTCCCGCCCTAGCCGGCTGCACTCCGCTCCGCTCCACTCCTCCCCGCCCGCCGCGGCAGCAGCCGTTTTTCATTGAAGCAACAATAGACAGAGAAAGGAAAGGAGGGCGAAGCACTCTTTACAACAGACGCGGCAAAGGGTTTGGGCGCGCGCGCGCGTGGGGGTGGGGGCTAGGAAAGCACAAGAGTCCACGGAAACTGCATACACACTGGTCCAGGGGGTGAGGCCCTCACAGCAGACGGGAGAGCAGAGGTTCTTCCCTTCCATCCTTTTTGTAGCACCCTGAAGCTAGGGATCACCACCAAGGGCGCACGGGGATTGTAGGCATTAAAATGCTCCTGAGGGAGCACCGAAGTTTGCCCCTTCTCAGCCTAACTCATTCTACAGTGTGACAGGGGACAGAGACAGGAAGGCCTGGTGAGAACGTTTGGGGGGGCGGTTGTGGGAAGATGTAAACTGAAGGTCTAGTAAGCTTAAGAATCCCAGTTTTCCTCGCCTCAGGATTAAATACCAGGAGATTCAGGTGAGAACCGAAAGGCTAGCAAAGCTCCTCTTTCCCCAAGGCAAAGACTCTCTCTCCCCAGGAGATGCCCCGCGGCCAGGGCCCAACCCCGCGCAAGGCCCCACTCCGGCCCCGCCCAGGCCCCGCCTCCGGGTGAGCGCTAGGCTTCGGGGAGGGGCCCGGCTGAGGGGCCCAGCGGGAGTGTCCCCCGTGCACGTGGTCGGAGGCGGGGCCCATCCACGTCACCATCCTGTGTAACCAACGGGCTTGGAACGCAGGCAAACGCAACATTCCAGCCCTGAGCGGGTTTGGAACGCGTAGACACGCCACATTCCACACCGGCTAAAGCGGGGCGCTGGGAGGGGGGCCCCGGGAGCTGCCCTCAGCGACCCGCCGGCCGTTTCGCAGACACCCAATCAGCCCAACTTTCACCCAAACCCTTGAAGCGCAATCCAGCCGGGCTCTGGGAGGCGGGGTCAGGCGGGGCTGACCAGGATCATAAGACACGCGATGTCATTTCATTCTGCAAAGGCCGCCTCCGCCCCAAGCGGCGCGTAGATCAGCCGGGAGCGCCCCTCGCAGCCCCCCGCCGGGGCAGGGGAAGCCGGAGAGCAGTTCGGCTTAGAGTAATCCCCACCCCCACTTCGTTACACACACGCCCACTCGTGTGCTGTACACACGTCCGTGTACACGTCCGTGCATCCGCTCTCCCCGAGGTACCATCACACATCCCCCGTGCACACACGCACGCACACGCGGGTCTGCCACCTCCACGCAACATCATCCTTCACCCCACCCCACCCCCGACTCACATCTTCAGAACTACGGAGGGCACCCACGGCCCACGAGAAAGGAGCCCCCAGTAGAAGGTGCGAGAGGGTGCAAAAGCAGATGGGGCTGTGCCCGCAGGAGCCGGGTCCCTCGCTGCATGTTAATGAATTCATTAATTATTTTAACTGCCCACATTACTCCTCTCGGGCGGCGGCTCTTTCGGAGAGCTGTGCACAGCCCGGCTTCTCCGGCTGTCGGGGAGGGGGGGGGATGCCTGCGGTCTCGCGTGCGTTCGGGGGCCGGGGGCACTCGCCTCCCCTTCCCCCGTGCCCCCGGGGCC